CAACCGATTGATCCCGTATTTATTCGCGGTCTCTCTGCTTTCTTTTCCCAACCATTGAACAAAGATGGTCTTTCTTTTTGCTTGCTGTATGAACAATTGAGTTAGAGAAATCTTGAAATATTAAAGTATTGCCTTCGTAGATCTTGAAATTCCTTTCTCACATACTTTCTTTAACCATGTACTACTTTATGTATCAATTGAAGTGATAATGTGAGATAATTTGATTCTGTGTCAAGGCATTGATTCGATTGTCATTTGCATGTAATTTTCCGACGATTTTTAAGGATGCACAATTCACACATAACTTCGGATTATTATTTGTTGCCTCATTTTGTTTTCGCTCTGAGCTCAGCGAATCAATGAATGAAGATCCCAAGATTATTTGTTTGCGGAACCTTTTCCGCTTTATAATTTCATTCGCCAAGGATCGATATCAAAATTTGTAGCGGAGTTCTCCAAAGTGCTGAACGGATTTATTTTAGACCAAATTTTGGAAATAAGATTATGAATGGTTATGGCTATAAGATTGACAGTCGTATAAGAAAGTGTATTATTACCATGGTTTTTTATTGATAGCACCATAACTTGATTGCCAGCCTAATGTGAGCTCATGATATGATTTCGCAAACTCAGACAATTATTGCGAGCATCCGCGGCCTCTACCATCATTTTTTGGCAGTGCGAGGGCGCTAAATTCTTGAACTGACCATCCGCGGCCCTAGATTTATTTGTTTGGCAACCCGCGGCTCAATGCTATCGCAAGGGAAAGGCCGCGGGCCATAACTGTTTTATCGGAACACCCGCGGCCCAAGACAAGACACTCGGGCGAGCCCCGGGGGCCTTCCAGCCCTGCATATTTGGTTATCGAGCAAGCCGCGGCCCTTTAGGTCACGGCCCGGTAGAACCGTTCTGGCGAGCCCCGGGCCTCGCTGGACGCCACAATTCTTACACGCTGGAAGCAAAAACGTTGCTCGCGTGCGATACGCCGCGGTAGTTGAGGTACCCTAAACGCTTTGGTCTTTGCTCAGACAGTTGCTGCAGCGGCCCGGTCGCCCAACCTGTATAACCATAGTTATGTAACCTCAGCTTACGACTAGCAGCGAAGTCGGTCCTTAGTTGGGCTCTGGGATAAATTTTGGTGTAGATCATGACTCTATGCGAGGGCTAGAAGAATGAGAACTCGAGTTCATAGATATCTATAAAAATATTTTCGCGTTTAGCTGGTGCGTATGGGGCCACCCGCGAACGCATATCGCGCATTTATCGTTTGATTGCCGGAACATCCGCGGGTTTCGTTTGGGCACTTACCGGCGCATCCGCGGGTAGATTTCGGGAGCTTGGCGTGCGTTTATTCTACCACCCGCGGCATGGATGAAACGTCGGCTGGCGCCCTTCCGCGGGTGGTCGCAATAATTGTCTGAGAAGGTACACTTTCACTTTCACTTTCATATCAGAACGTGAGAAAAAGAGCCTAGAACCAGTGTTTGAGTTTTTTGTCACGAATATTGGGACGTGGAATATGTGTCAATATTTGACATTTGTGTGATGTTCACATCTTTTGTCAAGCTCTTCTACAACTACATATTGTCATGTTCTCGATACGCGTATCATATGTAGTGAAGACTGTAAAAGCTTCAGGTGCATATAAGACATCAATTAATCTCAGCAGTTTCATGTCCTCAGTGTTTCTCATGCAATAGCAGTTCTGATTAATGAGAGAAAAGAAAGGTTATTAATTTTTCGTTTTGTTTTTTTGTAAACTGTAAGTTTTTGATTGTGACTGTTCAATGTACATACATAAACAATATGTCTTGAATGATGATTTCAGACCACCCGTTGAGTGGTCTGAAATCAACGCTAAAGACATATTGTGGCTTGCATTTTCTATTTTGCGCATAAACAGTCTGAAAATTTTATTTTTGTTGGTGACCTTTTCGAGATTCCGACGCGAACATGCGTCCAAATTTTTCTATTGCTTCACCGTCAAATTTGTACGATGTATCTGAATAGTGCTCTTTTATCCGTTACTGTTTCAAATTATCGTTATTTCCAAATGGCATTAGACAACCTATCATTTTGATCAATCAGTTCATTTGGCCTGCTATCCACGCGTTTTTGCTAAGCCATTCTCTTTTTTACATCTCCTTTTCCTTGGATTTTACTCGTCAATTTTCTAAACCGGTTACCAGGAGGGAATGTGATAGAATACGTAGACAGGGAAGTGTACAATGCAAGTCCGTAAAATTCTTTATCTCTTCTGATTTTAACCATTATCTCAAAGTACGCTGCTGTACATTACCATGATCGAATTGGCTACTTACCTTTCCTTGTCCTTTGATTGCTAGTCTGATTTGGTGAATGTAGAGAAAAGAATGCGATTTGTTCATGCGCCATTTATCGACAGAAAGGAACATTGAGTGCAAGGCACTTCACAAACTGTTCCAGACAAGTTCTGGTTGAGACTATAAATGGAACATTGTTACATCAGAACTCAGTACCATCGATTAACAGCAATTGTTGTCACAGGTGTCAAGCTTGCTGAAGTTTACACTGCTTTCTGCAGCGACTTTTCAAGCCAGTCACTCTTACTACTTGTTACATGTATGATTTCATTCATTGTTTCGTTCTTGCTTATTCAAGCCATGCAGTTTTCCGAGCAAGCCATCACCCTCTTTCTCTTCGCCATTTTATGAATGTTTTTTTTCATTCAAAAGTTTTGAAGTTGGTAAACGAAACATTCCATGTAGAATATGTTATTCTTCAGAAAAAACCCCGTGACCAATAATGAAAGCTTAAGCAGAAGGTTCTATCAGCAAGATAACTTTTCATTTCAGGTTTTTTTTCTTTTTAACAGGTTCAAATGATTCAAAGCCGTGAGCTTTTTACGCAAATCAGAGTGTTTAGTAATGCTGTGGAGAGGTGAAGATTTTATAAATACCGAAACATGGTTGTAGCTCGACATTGTTATCATAATCTTACCTCAGTACTTCTCCGTTATCTGGACCCAGTTTTCTCAAAAAATGTTGCTTCTCTCCTTTTCTCACAATTAGTCCAACTTCATACGAAAGTGTATCAGCCTCCTGCCACGTGCCAATATTGTATAACTCAAGTACATGCTCAAATAGGTTTTATCAATTTACCAATATATTTTGCCTACCTGCCATCGCAAGTGCCATTTTGTTTCTATAATGACCCATGTTTGATCCAACAAGTTTGGAAAGAGCGTTAACATTTAATTAGTTCCCCTCCAATGAACATATCGGATTTGCCCAGAATAGAGGAGTGCGCTAGGGTCTCCAACATCTACCGGCCAAACAAGCGGCAGCGAGATACTTTGACTCATTTGGATATTTCCCGGACCGAATCTGCATGACGGAAACATTCGTTGAAGAAGAAAATTTTCAAGTCATTGATGATTTTGTCAATATGTTTTAATGAACTTTGTAAGGTATTTAGCTTTCAAAAAGACAGCAACGGCTTTTGAGTCCTTACAAATGCTTTGTTTCACCAGAAATCATTTTGGAAAGACGTCAAACTAAATCCTACCTGTTCATTTTTTCCTGACATGGGGATGTGCCCTCATAAAATCCGTTAAAAAATGACTGATCGTACTACGTGTTCCATGTAAATTCTTTCAAGAAATGAATTGGGATAACAGAGAATCATCCTTTCTCTTCGTTTATCTGTTTTTTATGCTGTAAGCCGTCTATCATGTTTCAAATATGAAGGAAATAAGTTTGTTGTTTTGTTCATCTATATTTTTCACAACATCCGGCCATATCGATCAGCTGTTGTTATCTTTTGCATCACATAGCTTATATGCCATGTTGTCGCTTCGTCGATCTGAGTTGAAGTTGAGTTACTTAGTTTTATTAGGTTTAGTTAGTTTTTAGAAGTTGTGCCATCTGGAGAGCTTTACTTTCATTGAAATTATCAGTTTTCGTGTTTTCCTTACCTAGACTTTGACGTTATAGTCTGCCCAAGTACGAATGGTTATGTAGACTAATCATTAGTCCTATCAAAGGTCGCCCACTTCCTAATAAATTTTTGTGGTGTATAGAGGGACATTTTTGCTGCCTTCAGTACAAAGAATGGAAGGTTGGTCGAAATGGTCGTTTAATAACAGATGAATATTGCCTCGAAGAGTATGAAAAGCTGGTTCCAAATATACACTCCTTTTCTACTGTCCTTTTCTGAGGGATGAGCTATTAAGGTTTTTATGAGCAAAATATTGAGTGTGCAGCTAGGATAAAATCAGTCATAACATTTTTCCTAAGTCATGGATGATTGTGGGGATATCTCTGTGCGATTGTGGGGATATCTCTGTGCAGTAAATTTTCTTAACTGAAACAACAAGTCTAACGTTGACTTATTTGAAAGCCAAGAATAGTTAGCGCCTGATTTTACACTAAACATAATCCGAGATTTTTGCCCTTAAATACTGACTCCTTGCTTAGAAATCCGCAGCAGACAAGAAGAGTAAATTTGGGATCAGTGCTTCATACTTTTCAAGGCAGTGTACATTTTATATTGAAGGGCCACTTTGACTGAACTTCCTTTCCTTGTAAGTTGCTATGCACCCTTTGGTGACAAATCCTCCTGCGAAGAAAAACTGGACTGTTGCATGAGAGTTGTCACCTTCTTTATTGCAGTTGTCATTTCCACATTTGTTTGCCTTCCGTGGAAATTTGAAATTCATATTGACATGTGCGAGAACGGACAGATGTTCAGCAATGAGAAGCTTTTGCTGTTCCGCAATCTTTCTCGGCCGCGGAAAATCATCATTTCGCTGATTCTGCTAGGGAAGTGGAAAATTGTTTACAATTGTCTTTTATAATCATCTTAGAAAAATTCTTTTGATGTCATGTAATGAAAAGATCAGTTCACACACTGTGAGACATTGATGTGGTTTGTGAAAATCATTGCGTTATTTTCGCGTCTAAAAGTCTGTACGTAATTCTCATGTGCTATTTCTATCACTTTTTGATGATGAGTTTATAGCGCACTTTATAGATAACTGATGGCCCATTTGATTGGATTATAGCGATGAAACGCGTTGGGCTACTGTGCAGTCGTCTCAGTCGACTAATTGAAACTGATGTAGGCAACCTCGTACCGACCTGTTCTAAAAGGAAATTGAGAGTGGGTTTTTCAAGTCCTAGAGCTTTCCATCTATGCGCCACTTTTAGTTCTTCTGCACAGGCCCACCTCACACCTCGTCCCCTGTACCTGAGTCTACAATCAAAGTGCGGTATGTGCGTGGGCTTCCACTCCTCAATGTGAGATTACCGTCGAGGGACGAAGAATGTCAGTTTTCGCTCCGACCACTTAGCGACAATGTAGGGACTTTTTGCGACCAGCTGCGGCAAGAAGATCGAGGATTGGATTTTGTTGCTGTTTATACCAAAGGTTTGCTGCTTCCATTACGCTCAGATTTGGATATTTTATAAGCTCAGCTTCAGATGGAATTCGTGTTGCTACATCAACTTCTGTTGAACATTTGTTACTTTTTGGAGAGTTTCGTCTGAGACTGAATGATCGCTATTTTGATGTTGTCGTGTCGTCAGGACTGGAAGAACAACTGGGAAGCGACAGGTACGTGTTCTTCCTTCCTTCAAGTTGTTGCTAAGAAAGCGTTTTAAAGACCTGTTATTTCTGGATGCAGCTTAGCAATTGACAGAATATCTTTTTGGAAAGGCAAACATGTTCAAGATTACTGTCTCCCACTTGCCCTAATAACTTCAGATTAGATCATTTCCTCAACTTTTGCTTCTACGTGTAATGAACTGATCCAGCGGTGGGCGTATGCTCCAAAACCAGTTCTAAACATTCCAATTTTATGTCCAAGAACTTGTCCGAATGGGTGCTAGAGACGCTACTCATAAAAATAACATCTTGTTTCAACCATAGCGCATAAGGAGCGACAGTAGCGATAAGGCAGGACTTCGAAATCCTAATTTTTTTGGAAAGTTGCATCTATTCTGTATCAGTTACAGAAGTGATGTGAATTTTATGGCAGTGAGTCAAGGCTTCGAATTTGTTAGAATGTTAAAGCGAAGGAAACACTCAAGTTAAACTTATGGGGGAAATGGGGAAATCTTGAAAAAAAGAGTGCAATCAAAGTTGGATTTCCGACGAGTTGGCGTTTGCTCCTCATTAGGCCCTCATGGACAAAATGTAGATTAATGATTTCCAGAAAATTGCATCACATGGAAAGATTCTGGTAGATTCTTTGCTTGTTCCTCTTCTGCGGGATACCGTAGCTCTCTGTATGATATTCAAGCAGACACTGATCGGATTCACATGGCAAATTTTGATGACACAAAACCATAAGCTTACTATGTTAGAGTCTAGAATACACCACATGTCGATGCATCTTACTGTGTAAAATGTTACTTAGATTGAAAGTGGATTCAGATGTAGCAATCTGCCAAATTTGTGGTTTTAGCTTAACACGTTGACGACAACATGATCCACATGCTGGGTCATGCAGTGACTGCCATTTGGGACAATGTGACCCACATGGTGGTCACAGCTTAAATTTTGTTGAAATGATTACAATTATTGGGTACAATCGTTTCATGAGGTCTTTTGAGCTCTGACCTTAGAAGATACTTTGACGTTCCTTGAATGCTATTCAGAATCTGTGTAGGTATAGTATAGTTGACAATCTGCGTGATTTTAGCTAGAAAATCTCGACATTTCCGTGGAAGGCATCGTCTCACAAGGCAGACAACTAAAAATGCGCGTTGTCGTTAACTTTTTTAAAAAAATGCTTTCAGAATGCGACAAATCGATGATCTGCGTGCTACAATCGCTTCATTGCATGCTTCGCTTTGTGTGGACGAGTACAAAGTAAAACTGTTTCACTAAATTTTATAGGAAAGCGTAGTGTTTCTCGCTTTTTTCAATCAATTTTCTTAGATAGGAAGGGAAAAGAAATTGCTGCAACGGCTCGAGAGAGCAGAGACAGCATTGAAGCCACTACACGAGGTGATTCTACTTCCAGTTTTTGAAGTCAAGGTTAATCAAACTGCAACTTAGAAAAAGCTGGAAATAGAGAAGGCATGCGAGAATCACGCAGAAAGAGTAATGTGGGCAGGCTTTGCCGCCATGGGCTTACAGACAGGTATTTTTGACGTTTCTTTTTCTGTATTGGATATCGAAGAAGGCTCTGTTAAGGTTTGTTTGCTCGATTGACCTGGTGGGAGTACTCCTGGGATATCATGGAGCCTGTAACTTATTTTGCCACTTACGGGACTGTAGTAGCGACCCTCGGCTACTACCTCTATACCCGACAGGTTGGTTTCTTATCAACAGTCTTGGAAATATTATAGAGTTTGTCTATACTGAGAAGTTTTTGCTTCTAAAAAACGTTTGCTGCGTCATCCATCATTTGTGAACGAGAATTTTGCTTATATCAGACTTTCGAATATCCGAATGCACGGCAGCGGGTTTTTACGAAGCAGTTCTATAGAAGAGCGGAAAAGGAAGGCTTCGATATTGAAAAGTACAATTCATTGGTGTCGGAGGTTAGTCTCCATTTACTTTTCAAATTTTTCTTTTCTTAGTGGTGCTTTCTGTGAAAAAAATTATGGGCGCTTTTTTGGGCAAGAGTTGCACCTGGAAGGCAGTGTCCCGGCAAAATGTCGCTCTCCGGTCTTTCACTTTTTCAGAGTCTTTTCGCCATGCTGGAGCTATATCTGAGCTCTTCAGCGTTAGATGGAAAAAAATGAGCATTTTTTTGAAGCTCTTCGTGTCCGCGTTAGCTCCAATTTAGGAAGTGGGGGTCGGGAAGTGGGCGGGGCCTGGAAGTTAGCGGGGCCTGGAAGTGGGCGGGGCCCGGTTTCCGGAGCGGATTTTGAGCTTTGCAGAAGCGATAGATTAGTTGGTTGTCTACCATGGCAACACTGCAAAATCCCGTTACCCATCAATTTGCGGGGACGCTCCCTTTGAGGCAAGCAATGAACGCAGCATATGCTATGCTGCGTAGTTACACAATCAAATTGTGTTGTTGAACACTGATAGATCTATGTTCAGGTTGAAGAACTCCGCGGACAATTACAGCGTATACGTGATCCCCTATTCCAACACTTGCCAGTCAGCTACCTTACCAAACTGGAAGACGATGTAGATGTAGCGCAAAGAAACGTCAGAAAGTCTTCACCCAACGGCGGTTGAAGACATGTTGGCTAAGCCAATTTTGCTTTGGCTTTGGTCTCAATGTGCATAGCTTCTCCTTCTTTTCATTCTTTACGAGTTCGATGCCAAAGTTTGTAATTTATATACAGTATTCTAGTCACTTAGGCACCCTATTAGAGCTTTGCTCAAAAGACATATGTTTGTTTTTTTATGTTTTTGTTTCTTAGGACAGCAATGCACAGTATCTGTTCATTCCTGGACTTCATTGTTCGCCCTCTCTATTCTCCCAGCTTCATTCATAATGGAAAAATTTTCATGCCCGATCAGTTTGATTGGTACTATTTATATTGCACTAAGGTTGTGCAACGGCTCTGACACACGACAGCTAAGCGCGACCTCCCACTCCTTTTCTCCTTTTGGTCATGTTAGACTCCATCCTTTTGTCCCTCACTCCATGTGGAAATGGCGTTCAAAACAATTTATTAAAGAGCTAGATCGATTTTAGTTATTTAAGAGGAAAAGTACAAGCTTGGTTTGACCTCAGAGAAAAGATCTAGCTACTACAGTTCCTGGAAATAAAGCCTGGAGGCAGAAAAACGCTCTGATCGTTATCTTAGCGCCTGAGGTATTGTCTCTTTGACTGCTTACGACCCCTAGTCTCTTTAGACTCTCAGTACGACCTTGGTATCTGAAGAGGGTGAGATTTGTTATGGGTCGACCAGCAATCATTCGCACCACGCGCTTTTGATGCAAAACCTGCAGTAGTTGCTGGAATCCTTTCTGTACTTTTACATGAATCGCGAAGCTATGTATTCGAAAGCTGTTTCCAACGGACATCTCCTAGGAGTTTTTATTGTTAACATTGTGAAATCTTAACTAAGTTTGAAGGTGAAGCAGTGACCATTACTGCTCATAATATTGAACTCATCTGTGGCGGTGTAACTTGCAGCTTTTCAAGCGTCGGAGTACTGATGTTGCATACCCTGTGTGTATTAGTATATAGAATATATAGTATATATATATAATGTTGCAAAGATTCTGTTGAGATTCGCTGTCATACCAACGATTTTATGATCTTGTTTATTTTTGTTTATCATAGAACCTCAGCGCAAAACATTGCCGTTTATGAATCTTGAATTATATAATAGCGCATAAATTGTTCGATGCTCTTCGTATTGTATTTACTCCCAGTTTGTCCCACTTCCATCTGCAGTGTGCGTCTGCACTACAAATTTGCAAAGTCCAATCCAAGGACATCAGTTTGTCTTTAGGTACTCTGGAGAGCTGGCTTCGATCTCGATTTATGTTGGATGAATCGCCGATTGCTTCTCGTGGTTGTGGAATTTCACATTTCACTGCACGTCAACACGTCAACATTTTGGAAGATCGACATCGTCAGAGCTTGCCAAGGAAGAAGGGCATATAACCTACTTGATTGAGAAACTTTACAAGTGGACAGACAAGACGCTAACATAGTTAGAATGTCTTACAATTAGCTGCAGCGCCATCTATATCGGAGGAAATGGCAGAACAATTAAAGTTCGCGTAAAAGAACATTGCAGATAAAAGGCGTAAGACATTGTTTTCACCTTTAGTCAAACACAGCCACGATTCGCATGTTGGAAACATTTCGATATCAAGTGCCAGATCTTGGCACATGAGAAGGGAATCTCGGTGAGGAACGCGTCAGAAGCATTCTGGATTTCCGCGAAGAATCCAGCAATGAACAATAAGAATGGGTGCTTGTCAATTACCACGGACCTCCCTTCATATCTCTATGCAGACTGAAGGTGGAGCTTTTATAATATAGTCCATTCAATCCGCCAAGACCATCACTTCCGCTGCGGAACACCAAGAAGCGGTGTTCACAGGTTATGTTCATCTCCTGGCGTAGCAATTTTCACGGTAGGAATGTTGAATGAAGGTTGAGAACTACCAGGAATGGAGATGGTTGATGGTTTCGTCTTGGAGTAACGCTTCAGCCATTTTTAGGCCTTTAAGGAAAACGAAAGACATCGAAACGATAGGCCGTGATTGGCAATAAAGAACACCTAACACACCTGTTTGGCACAGAAGCACTTTTACTATACAAATTTATGCCGAGGTTCAAAAGCGGAATTTTCAAATTATCAGAAGACGCTAACCTTCTTTTCATGAACACGGCAATAGTGCTTTCATATGATCCTGAACCATGGGCTGGGAGTTGGCACAGAGGTCTGCGTATACCATGTAAGTCATACAGTTCTCACAAAGGAGGATACTCGGTGACCGTGGCTTTGAAATGAAACGTACACTATCAAATTCAAAGCATAAATTCCAGATTTGCTTCTGGTATCTGTTGTGCGCTCTTCCTAAAGAAGTAACAAGCATTTCTTGGCACCAAAATTTGTACTGTTTTGATGATAGAATTCACCAGTATCGCCAATATCCTCCAAATAAAATAATGCTTAGCCAAGCTCAGAAAACTGTCTCCGATATATCAAGTCTAAAAAGCCTGCTTACTGGATCTTGTGAGATTAATACGGAAAATGCGTAATTCTGGCATTACCTGTTTTTGACACCAACACCATCACACCTATGACATCTGCATGTGATACTGCAGATGTACATGCGATACTGCGATAGCGCATAGTACCCGATATCTCAAAATTCTTACCAAAGCGGTAAGTGCTCAGCCACTTTGTCGAACTACGACGATGATTGAGTTTCGGATGTGTTTGGTGTATTTACAAAATTATGTTCTGAGCAGAAACTTTTAGTAAAGTTTGATCCATATTCAAAGTCAGTATAAAAAAGCGAATGTCGATTTGACTGGGAAATGTTGGCTGCAGCTATTGTTAACAGATCTAAATCTTCTTCGAGCACCCCAAAATTTTGCAGATATGTACGCTTTTTTGAAATCGATCGTCTACTTCACAATCATTAGTTTTTGCAAAGGGTGATAAGATAGGGCCTTCAGCACTCTAATCGGAATCTTGTAGAGCTTTTCCCAATTTTTTTTCTCATTACCTTGATCAAGACTTTACTTTCTTTTCCATAAATTCATACTGAAGCAGCTTTTTTTCGTCGTCCTCTTTCGTGCAGTAAACTTCGTGCAATTTCAGATCCCTACTAAATCCGAAAGGCAATATCGCTAGCCAGGAATTAGAGAGCGGAGTCACAGGTGCGATAAGGTGAGAATGACTTCCCCAGGGTGAAGGGGGTCACAGTCGTCGCAGTCCCTTCAGGGTGAAGGGTGTTTCAGTTTTATTTATTTATTTATTGAAACGTGCTCACACACGCATGTTAATAGTATGAACAAGAAATAACCTGAAAATCAAGAGACCAACGAACCAGAGGTAGAAAAATGAACAATAAAGTAAAGAGAGGAAAAGCAATAACAAACAAACAAACGAAATGAAAACAAGTGATAAACAAATGCAATCAATCAGTGATCAGGAAGTGGGATGACTTGCAAGTGTAAAGACTTGGGCCAATGTAGTTTGAAAAGCGTCTTGGGTTAGCAATTTATTTAAGTCAGGCAGTATTCTTGCAGCGAAAAACTTTGATCTTACAAGTGTTTTAGCTTTTGGGGCTCTGAGTTTCAACGCACCCCCTCTGGTCCTTGAAGGATAAACGTCAAAAAACCTGGTTGAACCAATCTTACATCTACCAGTTAAGATCTTCAAAGCCATCGAAAGATCGAACTTCTTCCTTCTAAGCGCTAAGCTAGGAAGAGATAACAATTTAGCACGTTCTTGGCTCACTGGTATGAGAGAATAGTTGGGACCTAACATTCTCAAGAACACCTTTCGAGTAAAATTGTTCTGGACACCTTCAATGGCAGCAATATCACGGACCTTATGCGGTGAAGTAACAGCGGTGCCAAATTCAACCATGGGTCGTATATACATTTTGTAAGCTCTAACTAAGACGTTGGGGTTTGAAGTACGAAGTGCCTTGAACAAATTGTACGTTCGGGAAACGGCTTTGGAAACAATTGCGCTGTAGTGGCCGGTGAACTGAAGCTTATCATTGAAGGTAAAGCCCAAATCTTTGATTTCAGTAACTTTGATCAGAGCGGTTCCATCAATTTTATAAGATGAATCTATTGTCTTGCCACCCAATGACATGACTTTGGTTTTGTGTGGGGCTAAAGGCAGTTCAAATTCCTTAGACCAACGAGAAACCGAGTTGATACAAGACTGCAATGACTCCATGTCAGAAGAGCTGCGTATAATTTTGTATACTTTTACATCATCTGCATACATCACACATTTGCAGCCCTCAGCTTCGACAATGCTAGGCAAATCAAAAGTATAGATAAGAAAGAGAATAGGTGACAATACGCCACCTTGTGGAACACCACTGGAAATAGAATAAGACTTTGAATAATCATTCCCGATATGAACTTGAAACGTTCGGCCACTCAGAAAATTTTCGATCCATGTATATGCAAAATTATGTACACCTAATAGCTTAAGTTTAGACAGCAATTTTGAAGTTGGAACCTTGTCAAAAGCTTTGGAAAAATCCAAAAATATGACATCAGTTTGATAACTCCTATCAATTGCGAACGTCCAATCATTCATAGCCACCAACTCGGCTGTCTCCACTGATCTACTTTTACAGAAGCCATGCTGACAAGTAGGGATGATAGAATATTTTTCAAGGTGCATAACTATCTGATCTTTGAGTATTTTTTCAAAGGTTCGGGAGAAGATAGACATTATGCTTATGGGGCGATAATTTTTGGGGCTGTCGTAGGGTGGCTTTTTAGGAATTGGGGTTACTATCGAATGTTTCCACCTGTTTGGAACCTCTCCTCTCATGTAAGAAAGATTGAAGAGGAACTCAAGCGCAAAACCAATTTCAGGCAGCACCCTTTTGATAAAGTACAGAGGTACTCCATCAGAAGTAACTGTAAAGGAGTCTGGATATTTAGAAAGGATGCTGACAATTTTCTCTCTATGAAACCAAAGAGTTTTATCCATTTCCGGATACAAGGGGGAACAGCAAGAACTAGGAGACAAAGTACTGCTATAGGCTTTTTGAAATTCACCAGCCAATAGAGATACCTTATCTGAATTTCGAGACAGGGGATTGCCTGAGCTATCTTTCAAAGGATAAGAACCAAGATTATCTTTGATATGCGTTTTTATGTAGCGAAAAAGCCCATTGGAATTGT